GCATAACAGAGAGTCAGTATATGCCTAGTACAGTATTACCCCGCTTTACGCGGTTTCACTTTCCGCGATTTCCCATTTACGCGGTGCCTCGCCAGAACCGAACTTTCACTTTCCGCGGTGCATCTACTCATATACGTGGGAAGCGGCGCGGGCAGGATGCGCACAAGGTCGCCCAGTCATCAAAACATTACCGAGTTCTTCACCCGCCACCCACCACAGCCGGCCTAAGTTAGTGATAGTGAGGATATGGACTTTGGACTTTGAGGGGTTTGACAAAGAGGCCTTGCAAGCCTATGTGGTGGATAGTGATACAATTGATACAAGTGATACAGGTGAGGGCCAATAATCTGCCCTCTGCCTCGGAACCAACCCCCCATCCCTGTGTGCCCAGCCATCTTTTCTACTAATGTAAGTGTTAAAAAAACTAATATTATTGATATTTCTCTTAATTATTAATTGTGTGTGCATACCATCATAAAATTAAGATGTAATTTTTACTACAACGTAGGTATTGTGTCTGAAAAAGTGGAGTTTGGGGGCCGGGCCAGTCTCTGTTGGAATTAATCCCATATGTTCTGTTGTTCACTTTACGTGGTTTTCACTTTCCGCGTTACCCCATGGGTTCAATTGACCGCGTAAATCGGGGTACTACTGTACTTGCCAACAGTGCGTGACAGAGACGTGACCGATCGCCCAAGCGGTTAACGAGCCGATCAGTGGTGAAGAGGATAAAAGTAAAGTAAAAACGGGTGCCGGAAAATCGGTGGTGTACCTGTAATACAAGTCATTGTGTTTGTCCAGAAGATGGCTGAAATTTTCAGCCATTTCGTGTTGTAATTTCAAAACTTCAGTGTTTCTTTGTGAAAATGGACCCTAAAAAATGCCTAGTGAAGTGAAATGTAAAAGGCAGAAATCAGTAATGAACCTGACAAAGAAAGTTGAATTATTAGACAAGTTAAAGGAGGGGATGAGTGCTGCTACGGCTGGTCGGTTGTTTGGTATAGGTATACAGTAGTGCACTAAGGTAGTATAAGTTGCTATTCGCAGTTTTGCCTATTCGTGCCATTCCTTGTAACCTAACCCCCGCGAATAATAAGGGTTTACTGTACCTTAGTAAATATAGGTTTCATTTTTATATCATATGGATTAGTTCAGGATTCATTAACTAGTATTGTTTAATGGTCCAGTAATTAATTTGATTGTATCATACCAATGATGTGATTTTCTAACTACAGGTAATCCTTTGCTTAAACATTACCATATGTGTTCATTAAATTTTGAGAACAGTACAGTACAGGGGGCCCCCTAAGTTCGCATTTTTTTATTTCGCGGTCCTCTATTATTCTCAGATGACACCCTGGATGTACCCAAGAATGTCTGTGGGTAATTTTAACGTTGCCGGCATTTTCGCGGCTGGGACAGGGAGCCATTTGTTCTAGAGACAGTCATTTCTTTTACCTGTACTGTATAGTATATGTGTGTGTGTGTAGACGCAAAACACATACTGTACAAATAAATAATACTGAAAAAAAAATTTCTCAAATAATCAGAAACAAATTTATTAAAAATGTGAGTCTACCCTCAAGGCCATACTTTATTACTTTATTAATAAAGCATGGAGTAGACTTTAGGGTAGAATGTCACATTTTTAATAAATTTGTTTCTGATTATTTGTGAGAAGATTTTTTTCAGTTATTTATTTGGACGTGTTTTGTGTCTACACACACACATATACAATACAGGTAAAAGAAATAAATGTCTGAAGGGCAAACACATAAAGGGCATATACATATCTTTGTATACACATAAAAATGTACCCCCCCCCGTGGTCAGCAAATGTTATTCTCGGATTTGGCGATTTGCGGCCATTTTGAGAACCTAATCCCCGCTATTTGGGGGGCTTCCTGTATTACTAATTTTATTTACATCTCGAGGAAAAATAATTTATTGTAATAAACTCTAATTAATTTAAGCTTAACCTTCAGAGATATTTAGTTAGTATTACCTTGTATAGGTTGTACCTCTCTTGTCCGGCATTCTGTGGTCCGGAAATTCCCGTGGTCCGGAACGATTTTAGTTTGTCCAATAGGTAGATAGGCAGCTTTTTTTTTGTTTTTTTTTGTTTTTACTTATCAGAATTATTATTATTATTACAGGAGTATTAAATTTTTGCACCTCAGGCCCCAATGTGGGTCAGTGACCTATGCCCGGGTGGGCTAATCCCCATAAAAAAAAAAAAACAACAAAGCCGCGGGAAGTTAAGGTTTGTTTACATCCGGCAGTTCGGCCTCTCTCTCTCTGCTTGTCTATACAGAGTACAACATTTAACCCTTCAATATATATGAGCAGTAAATAAGTGTTGCTTTCATATTCTTATGTAGAGTAATGACGATATGTTTTCACATGTGCGCTCTTACATATGCGCAGTCTCACTGGTTTTTTTTACCATTAATGGTTAGCTACTTATATTGTTCCATTTATTAGCATTAAATAACATTACAGGTATACTTCAAACAACCATATTCATTTTTTTACATTAATTTTACTACAGCTACAATCAGGGTCTTATTTTCTTCTTTAACATAAACAATGCCGGCAGCTGTCTCGTCTCCTCGTGTTTTAATATTCCACGTATTATTAATAAATTGTATTGTTAATTTTGTACACACAAACATTAATTCAATAAAAACAAATTCAGAAACATTAATTAGAATATATATGAACAGTAAATAAGTGTTTCTTTCATATTCTTATGTAAAATAATGACGATATGTTTTCACTTGTGTGCACTTACATACGCGATCTCTCTTTTTTCTTTACCATTATCGTTAGCTACTTCTATTGTTCCATTTATTAACATTAAATAACATTACTTAAAACAACCATATTAATCTTACTACAGCTACAACCAAGGTCTTATTTTCTTCAGTTTTATACAGGAATGTAGAACCAGTCAGTCACTGGTTTTGTAATCAACGAAAACCATGCTGTGTCATTTCCTCGTGTGTTTTAATATTTTACGTATTATTAATTAATTGTATTGCTCATTTTGCACACATAAACATTAATTCAATAAAAAAGACATTCAGTAATAAACAATAATGAATCTTTTGTACATAAGAGAAATGACGCTGTTTACACGATTATGCACGTCGTCTGCATGTTGGTGGGCCGTTCAAACCCGTCGAAATTCAAGTTTCCGCTGTCAAAATTTTTATTTTTATTTTTTTTGTGTTCCAATAAAATACGTTGAATTAAAAACTCGCGAAATTTGAGAAGCTACTATACGACATTTAACCCTTCAATATGTCTTCAAAGAGACCATGATGCAGAGAAAGTGGTGCTAGTGCTTCCAAGCATAAGCACAAGTCACTATCTATCCAGGAAAAGGGTGAATTTCCGTGGTCCGGCAATTTCCACGGGCCGGCACCGGTCAGGTCCCGAGGTTGCCGGAATAGAGGTACAACCTGTACTAGTACAGTACTGTATTATAATTTGATTCATATCATGAAGTTATTTAGTTTAATGTTCAAAATATATAATATGGGATACTGTATTTTCATTGTGCCATCACAAAGAAATTATTTATTACCATATAAGGTAAACTTATAAGTACAGTATAATCTGGATTTATGCAGTTTTTGTTTACGCGTTTGGTCATTTACGTGGCACCTTGCCAGAATGAAATGTTTTAATTACGCGGTAAATTTCATCATTTACGCGGGTGAAGTATAATTTGTTTATTTACTGAAGATATTTATTTTTAGCTCATAAAATTCAAAGAAATTACCCGGCCAGAATATAAATTTACTTTGCTGGAATTCTTATAAGATGGTGATTATTTTAAATAAAAACATCCTAAAATTTGCATTAGACAAACAAATTTTAGATCTAATTTAAGAATTTTATTAGAAAGAGCAAAAATTTTATCTTTTGTGCAAAATATATGATGTTTATATTCAAAATATTCCCTTTCTTGCAAGGAATCCAGCAATGTCAATTATATTATCCTAACTTTAGTCTGAGGTATTATTCATTTCTAAGCATGTAAGCCTACTGTTTTCACCCAAACATTTCTCAGACAGGGCGGAGCCAGCTATTGTGGGAAGAGGGGGGGGGGAGTTGAGTCCATTATTTGAATGGACATTAACCGGCGACTGTATTTCTCTTAAATATTAATTGTGTGTGCATACCATCATAAAATTAAGATGTTATTTTTACTTCAACATACATATTGTGTCGGAAAAAGTGTAGTTTGGGGGTTGGCCCAGTCTCTATTTCAATTAATCCCATATGTTCTGTTATTTCGTTTATACGCGTTTCTCGTTTTACGCGGACCTCCACGGGTTCCATTGACCGCGTAAATCCAGACTATACAGTACAGTACAGTACAGTACTTTTAAGGTGTAGATTTGTATACCTTCTACATGTATACTTATTATTTTATCTTGGCCTTCAGTGATATTACTGCTGTACTGTAGTCTTATAGTTTGATTCTTAAAATAAAGTTTAGTTTATGTTTGTACTGTAGTTCAGTTTATTTCCATTATGCCAATACTGTACAAAGAAATATTTTTATCATATAATAAAGTTTACTTATACTTTTTAATGGAGGAAGGGGAATGACTATTGGGCAGGAAGTCACTTCATCAAAAGATAAGATTGGTTATGGTAAATCATATAAAATAATAGATATTCTTGCAAAATTTTTAAAATCTGATACACATATGTCCCTGTGGCAATGACTAGCATCAGGAAAACTTATAATATGTAGGTATGTGACAAAACGTGTCAAAATGCTTGTGAAAGCATGTGTTAAAGTAGTGATTTAGACATGTGTCAAAATTGCTGAAGAGCTGTGGCACCCCTGTAAAGGCCAAAAAATGATGATAAAGATGTACAGTTTGGAAATTTGATTTTTCGTTTGTTTGTTATGTATATCCTTGGACTTTTCAAGTAGGTATTAAAGCTGTCAGGCTAAATATGTGTAATTTCTACAGGAGTGCTGTTGTATGGACCACCTGGAACAGGCAAAACACTCTTGGCTAAAGCTGTGGCTACTGAATGTGGACTAAACTTCATGTCAGTAAAAGGTCCAGAGCTACTTAACATGTATGTCGGACAGAGTGAGGAAAATGTGCGTCAAGGTTAGTCTGGCATTGAAATTATTCCTCGCTTTCAGTTTTATCCTGCTCTTGGAATAAATGGTTGTACAGTATATGGGGTATTTAGTTTTTAATTTGCAATATTAACATATTCTATGAATTATTCAGATTTTTATTTGTGGATGGAAATGACTACTTTACATGAGAATGGGGAGTTTTATACTTTCTAAGGCTACTGGTTGCTGTTGCCTGTATTGTAATAGAAGAGTAGTGAAGAAGGTTATTAAGCCTTGGGCAAGTAACTTGAGAAAAGTCAGAAAAGAAAGTTCTACTTTCATAAACTTAGAGACAGGGAGTTGGAGTGTGGTCAGATGGGTTTGAATACTGTACTGTATTATGTTAAACTCTTAGCAAAAGTTGGTAAAGTAGAAAATTATATATAAAACAAAAAGGTTTAACTGGCACCTACATTGCTGGTTCCTTAAGATGATTGAAAATGCCAAAAAAAAAAGAGAATAGTTAACCTTAGGAAAAATATACAAAAAACGATATTAAAGAATCTTAGAAAAAGTATATTTTAACACTATGGGCCGTGGATTGATGACCCTCTCCTAAAAAAATTTAACCTCTTTAACTCTTTAGGTGCGTAATTAAATTTCGCGCCGGTTCCTGAAAAGTGTCAATTATCCTGCCAAAAATGAATTTCATATAATCACATTTTCTATATGTTTTTCCTAGAGAACTTTTAGTATATTTTCCAAATCTGGAACAAAAATTCACATATGTGTGCAAATTTTAGAGAAAAAATGACATTTATACCCAAAAATGCAGGAAATTGGTATAAATCAATGTCTGGTATATGGCAAATAAATTTAATCAATTTGGTAACTAAACAGCAAATTTAGATATGTATTACATATTCAGATAATATCAAACAAAATAGTACAAAAATAAGCTATATTGCATTCAGGAAATACTCCTATACCTCAATACATAATATGTCCGCATGTCGTCTCATTTGGGGAAGTTTTTCAAGGCCGTGGGATATCCCCGCTTGTCGCATTTAATTAATATAATATTTTGGGCGGGTTTACCCGCATGTCGCATCCAAAGGGTTAACACAGAAAAAAGATATTATCCCTGATATTTAAAGTTTCTAAATACAGTAAATACAAATTGCCTTCATGATTTTTGGGTAATACATAAATAAATGCAACTTATATACAGTGCTGTACCTGTACTTTGCTTTCTCAATTGGCAGTGTTTAGTCGAGCCCGGGCTGCTTCTCCCTGTGTCATTTTCTTTGATGAGTTGGACTCTTTAGCTCCCAACCGTGGACGTTCAGGTGACTCAGGTGGAGTAATGGACAGGTAACTCTTATTGTCATAGTGCAGGTATTCAGTCATGTGCTGATGTTTTACTTCTCTTCTAAACTTTTACTTACAAAGTTTAAAATGTGACTTAAAATTTGTGTGTGTGTGTGTGTGTGTGTGCGTGTGCGTGCGTGCGTGCGTAAGGTCCCTGACTTACGAACACTCGCCAACACGAACGGGGTTAAACTTGAATTTTACAGTATTTCATTTGCTGTACCTGATTACTTATTTTTACTTTCATTTACTGTATATTTCTTCTTTTGTCTTAAATTAAGTGATTTTAGATGTATATAAGGACTTAGGCTATGATATAGTGGGATTTTAAACTTTGTTCTGTAAGTACAGTAATACCCCGCTTTACGCGCTTCTCGTTTACGCGTTTCTACATTTACGCGGTACCCTGCCAGAACCGGAATTCCCACTTTACGTGGTGCATCTACTCATATACGCGGGTGAAATATAATTTCTTTATTTAGCTCATGAAATTCATACAAATTACCCGGCCAGAATACAATTTACATTTCTGGAATTCTTTCAATATGATGATCATTTTGAATATAAACATCATAGATTTTGCATTAGACATACAAATTTTAGATCTAATTTAAGAATTTTATTAGAAAGAGCAAATATGTTATCTTTTGTGCAAAATATATGACGTGTATATTCAAAATATTCTTGGTCTTGCAAGGAATCCAGCAATGTCAATTATATTATCCTAACTTTAGTCTGAGGTATTATTTATTACTAAAAATGTAAATACAGTCGGCCCTTAACACGCGGGGGTTAGGTAACAGAGATACCCGTGAATGTTAAAAATCCGTGTACTATTGCTGCCCCCCCCCCCTCCCCCCCTTTTAAAAAACCCCTGGCCCCCCATGTCCTTATTTACTGTATATACCTGTGTGTAGTTCGAGTTTTTAAGACCAAATTTTTTGGCAAAGAATTGGGGGTCGACCTCTAAACGGGTAATAGTTTCGTTAGGTTGAAAAATATTTACCAGTAACTACCAGAAAACAATGGAAACGACGCACCACCAGCTGTGAGTGTCGGTACAGTTGCCAGGGCAGATCTCTTGCGTCGTCATAGCAAGCCCAAAGTAGCCAAATCCATGGTATAGTAGCACAGGATGATGTAAAACATAAAGTATTCATTTATTAAAGTTTATTTATAGATACATAAATTTTTTTTCATTACATTTGAAGCATCAATCTTCGTTAATTAAATTTGTAACAAAAGAAAACTACGATACCGTATTTCTAAGTACCGGGTATTTTCATTAAAATATTGCATCGCAAGTATATTTTACCTTAACTGTGACTGAATGAATATATTCTCAGAAATAAATATGGAAATGTAATATTTTTGCAGAAATGACGTACGTATTACAGTGGAAAGTGGGATAAAATCATGACGAAAACAATGACTTTCGCTTCTTTCGTTGTTCAAAAGATTTTACCGTGATCGCTTTTCGAATGGTTTTCAGTTAAAAAACTGTTGTATTACAATAATATTCTATCCTAATTCACTTGAATAAATACTACGATACCATATTTCTGAATATTTTCATGAAAATCCGTCAAAATAATTTTCCTTGTCATCGTCTTCAGCACAGTTGCCAGTTTCAAGATTTTCCGATTAAAATTTTATGTTACCAAGCATTTCTTTTCCCAAATCGTTTTACAATACTGTAGGTAAAACAGTTTACTATTGTGCAAACTCCACAGAAAAAAAAATTTACAAATGGAGACACCAAAAATGTAAAAAAAAAAAAAATGCTGTCTGACTTGCAACACTGTTGGTAGGGTCAGGTGGTTCTAACGGCATCCTGCCAGTACCCGGTAATCAAATTTATAACAGTGTCTAACCTCAATTACTGTAGTTTATCTGATGTAGGCAACATGAAGTAAAAAATACCAGTTAATGTGAGAAATTGGAAATGAATAAACAAGAAAAATGTCATTGGGCTATTTTTGGCAGGGCTGAGGGAGAGAGTACCAGCTGTTTGGTCTTTTTTGGCGGGAGAGTCACGCAAATATCCGTATTCGTATTTGTTTGGTGTCTTCTGTATTTTTAAAAATGAATACTTGTACAGTGACCCCTCGTTTAACGAACGCCTCGGCTAACGAACTGCCTTCCATAAGGATCTTCAATTCGGTTAACGAATTTCTTACGAACCGACCTCAACATGTTTTCGCTTGCACTGACCGGGCAACCAGCTTTAGTATCAGTCCGCCAATACATTAATCGGTTCTAGGGCTTAAATTCCTTACTATTTTAGTAAATATCAAGAAGTTTATACTATTCAATAATTTTAAAAGTTTAATATTCAATTTTTTAGTCATTTTAACAATTATTGAACATAATTGAAGGTAAAGTGACTAGTTTAATGCGCGGCATCCAGCCTCTTAACACAGCAAACAGGCGTTAGTCTCTCTCTGTTTTCACTGGAGGTAACATCTTGCTTGAGACTCTCTTCAACTAAACGCTTTTTTTCTGTGTTTCCAAGCAAATTATTGGTCATTTTGAAATTTATTTTACATATTGACAATATATAGTGCAGTGCAGTGTTATTTTAAAGAAAATATTCTTTATTTACAGCTAGTTTAACTTTGAAAAACACGTGTTGACATTGTTTGAATCCAGCATGGGGCCTAAGAGATCAAGAAAATCTATTTCAATCCAAACCAAGCAGGAAATCATAAAAAAACATGAACAAGGCATTAAATCAAATGTGCTTAGCAAAGAATATGGCATGTCGGCATCAACTGTGTCGACAATTCTTGCACAGAAAGACAAATTTAAAGAAGTGAAAGTGAGAGACAAATCTACAAGAGTGTTTAAAAGTAGATCCCTAATCGTAGAAACTGAGAGGTTACTTATCATCTGGATTAGGGAAAAACAGATGAAAGGTGATTCAGTTTCTGGTGATTTCATTTGTGAAAGAGCCAGGAAGATTTATGAACATTTAAAGGCAGATCAACCTGGTTCTTCAGGCACAGAATTTGAAGATTTTCGGGCTAGCAAAGGCTGGTTCGAAAAATTTAAGAAAAGAAGTGACATATTAAGTGTTGTTAGGCATGGTGAAGCTGCTAGTGCTGATATGGAAGGGGCAGCAAAGTTTTTAGTTGAATTTAAAAAACTGATGGAAGAAGAAAATTATCTTCCACAGCAAGTGTTCAATGTGGACGAAACTGGGCTGTTCTGGAAAAAAGATGCCCAAAAGAACATTCATCACCAAAGATGAAGCCTCTTTACCTGGGCATAAACCCATGAAAGACCGTCTCACTCTATTGCTTGGTGCCAATGCTTCAGGGGATTTCCGACTGAAGCCTATGCTTGTCTACCACTCTGAAAACCCCAGGGTGTTCAAGCAACAGAAAGTGGTAAGAACAAAACTTGGAGTGTATTGGAAGTCCAACCGTAAGGCATGGGTGACAAGACAGCTCTTTAATGAATGGGCTGTTGATGTGTTTTGCCCTTGTCAAGAGCTACCTAACCACCAATAAACTCCCTTTAAAGGTTCTTCTCCTCATGGATAATGCTCCTGGTCATGACCCTGACCTTGCCAGCATTTTGGAGTATCAATTTGACTTTGTGAAAGTGTTGTTTTTGCCTCCAGACACTACATGAATCATACAGCCAATGGACCAGAATGTGATCAGCAACTTCAAGAAGTTTTACATGAAGAAAATGTTTAGGAGGTGTCATCAGGCAACTTCCAATGATCCTGAACTAACACTGAAACAGTTCTGGAAGACACAATTCAACATCCTGGAGGCTGTAAAATTGATTGTGTCATCATGGCATGAAGTCTCCACTAGATCCCTCAATTCTTCATGGAAAGCACTGTGGCCATCAGTAGTCCATAATTTTGAGGGATTTGAGGAAGAAACAGAGTTGGACAAGGAGATTGTGTCCATTGATCAGTCATTGGGCCTTGAAGTGGAGGAGGATGATGTGGAAGAGCTTGTGATGTCTCATGAGGAGGAACTTACTCCTGATGACTTGAAGCAACTGGATGAGATGTTACAGGTAGAGGCTGACAGTGGTGAGGAGGAAATTGAAAGTGATGACCATATGTCAGCTAAACAGTTGAAAGATGTGATTTACTACTGGGAGAAGTTCAGGGAACTGGCTTCAAAGCACCCAGAAGTGGAAAAAACTGAACTAACTTTGTGTCATGTTGAGGACTCAGTGGTCTCCTTCTTTAAACATAAGTTAATGGTGAGGAGGACAGGTGCCCCACAGACCACAATTGACACTTTCTTCAGTAAAAGGCAGAGGGAACAAGATGCTATCCCTCAGCCTTCCACTTCAAGAAGGAGAGAGGATATTCATGGTGGAGAATCTGTCAGTCCAGAGGTTCCTGACATTTTCATGGAAGGTGACTCACCTTCCAAGAAGCTGTAAAATGCTTCTCCTCCACCTCCACTTCCTTCTCTTCTCCCTTCTCCTCCTCCACCTCCCACTTCAAATGCACATCATCATCATCCAGGAGCCTTCTACATACACACCTCAAAGTAAGTGAACTTTTCTACCATTTTTGTTGAATTTAGGAAATTTTCTGTGAGCTGGAACCAATTACCCAAAAACCCATTGAAACAATGGTTTCGGTTAACGAACGACCTTCTGGAACGGATTGAGTTCGTTAACTGAGGGGTCACTGTAAATTAAAAGTACCGTAACATTGTATTATATACCAACTTGTCATATTTCTGGAAAATAAGAATATACCGGTAAACACAATTTCAACGTACTGTAATCTAAAATTAAAGGCTACTTAAGAAGGGCCGATGCAAAAACAAAGCCTCCGCGACCAGGGCTCTGCCGTATCAGCTAGACAGTACAGTGGTCCCTCGGTTAACGAGCACAATCCGTTCCAGCAGGTTGCTCGTTAACCGAGAAACGCGTTAACCGAAACCATTGTTTCAATGGGTTTTTGGGTAATTGGTTCCAGCTCACCGAAAATTGCCTAAATTCAACAAAAAAGGTAGAAAAGTACACTTACTTTGAGGTGTGTATGTAGAAGGCTCCTGGATGATGATGATGATGATGGGAATTAGAATGGGGGTGGAGGAGAAGGAAGAAGAGAAGGCATTGGGGTGGAAGAGAAGTTACCCCATGGCACCATTTCACCCATAAAATTTTAGTTCTCTTGGTGTATTTCAAGATTATTTTCTTTAAATCAACACTGCACTGCATTATATATTGTCAATATGTAAAATATATTTCAAAATGACCAATAATTTGCTTGGAAACACAGAAAAAAAAGCGTTTAGTTGAAGAGAGTCTCAAGCAAGATGTTACCTCCACTGAAAACAGAGAGAGACTAATGCTTCTCTGGTGTGTTAACAGGTTGGATGGTACGCCAGAAACTAGTTTCTCTACCTTCAATTATGTTCAATAATTGTTAAAATGACTAAAAAAACTTAATATTAAACTTTTAAAATTATTGAAATAGTATAAACTTCTTGATATTTACTAAAATAGTAAGGAATTTAAGCCCTAAAACCGATTACTACTGTATTGGCGGACTAATACTACAGCTGGTGGACCGCCAAATGCAAGTGAAAACATGTTGAAGTCGGCTAGTAAAAAAATCGTTAATAGAGGGATTGCTCGTTAACCGAAGTTAGGAATCTTATGGAAGGTAAATCGTTAACCGAAATCTCGTTAACCGAGGCGCTCGTTAACCGAGGGACCACTGTACACGTGTTTTTCGATTCTTTTCAGTTAAAAACTGTTGCATCACAAGTGAATTAGGATATAATATTATTGTAATACAACAGTTTTTTAACTGAAAACCATTCGAAAAGCGATTACGGTAACATCTTTTGAACGAAAGAAAGCGAGTCATTGCTTTCGTCACGATTTTATCCCACTTTCCACTGTAATGCATACGTCATTTCTGCAAAATTATTACATTTCCATATTCTCAGAAATAAATAGTAGTTTTGCTGAAACGTAATGTATTTCAATGTAAATTAGGATAAACTACATGAAAACAAAAGACTTTACCTAACCTTACGATGTTCAAGATATGTTAGTCGTTTTTTTAATAGTTTTCGTTTAAAATACTGTTATATTAGTGATATTCTATTCATACTTTCGTGATATAATACATTCACGGAAATGTAATATTTTTGCTGAAATGACGTAGGTATTAGTGGAAAGTGGGATAAAATCGTGACGAAAACAATGACTTTCGCTTTCTTTCGTTCAAAAGATGTTACCGTAATCGCTTTTCGATTGGTTTTCAGTTAAAAAACTGTTGTATTACATTAATATCCTATCCTAATTGACTTGAATAAATACTACGATACCATATTTCTGAATATTTTCATTAAAATCCATCCAAATCATTTTCCTTGTCATCGTCTGCAGCACCAAACAGCTTCTCCCAGTCCTCTCCTTGAACAGGGCTAGAGGGTACGTGTTTTTCGAATCGTTTTCAGTTAAAAAACTGTTACATCACACGTATATTTTACCTAAACTGCGCCTGAATGAATATATTCTTGGAAATAAATAGTAGTTTTGCTGAAACGTGATGTATTTCAATGTAAAATAGGATAAAATACATGACGAAAACAAAAGACTTTACCTAAGCTTCCGATGTTCTTGAGATGTTATTCGTTTTTTTAGTAGTTTTCGGTTAAAATACTGTTATATTACAATGGTATTCTATTCATACTGTGCTTGATATAATACATTCACGGAAATGTAATATTTTTGCTGAAATTACGTACGTATTACAGTGGAAAGTGGGATAAAATCGTGACGAAAACAATGACTTTGAAATATAATGCAATATTAACCCCTAAATCGGTTAATTCGGAAAATCGGCTAAAACGGACACCCTTCCCCCCCCTATTAGTCCGAATTAACGAGGGTCGACTGTTTATAGATACAGGCTTTATATCTAAGATGGAATTATGTAAAGCATTTTAGAATCACAAGGAAGACCAAGCCCCTGAAGGAAAGGTGGGGAGAAGAGAGGAGATTCGATGAGGGAGGGGGGCATAAGAGGGTAGGGGAGGTGAGGTGGGTGGTCAAGGTGCTAATGGACACAAGAAGATCAAAGAGAAAGTCCGCTGTCATGGCCACTGCTACATGACATGACGTCACCTCACTTCACGAGACCTCTAGGTATGTGACCGCTTGGTGTTCCCCCACAGCGTACTCTTCATGGAACCACACTATACCTTCCACCCACACAACTCTTTTACCATGGTTAATAATTAATTAAAAAAATAATTATTAGTTTGCATGTAATGAGTAACAATTTTTGTTTTTCGATTCTGTTGGAGTAAAATTATTAGAAAACCACACTTAAGTAAAAGTACAAAAAAATTTGAGTACTTTTTAAAAAGGAAATATGCAAAAATGTTACTTGAGTACAATACTCAAGTAAATTTATTTAGTTACTTTTACCGGTAAGCTCTGGTTAAGAGGTCACACTGAGGGGGGGGGGGGGGTTGAAGGATCTCTGCAGTTTGAGTTGCTCCCATTGTGTAGCAAAGTGATTGAAAATTTTTGTTGCCCAGCAGCCAAATGGCAATGCAGGATTTTTTATTTATTGGTATGTATTATTTTTATTAATTCCTCACATTTATTTGTATATATTATTTTATCTTATTTCTCTTTGGGGTTGGTAACTGGAGGAAATTCAGTTTCAGAGAAGATAACACTGTTCATAGCGTCAGCTGTTGTGGTGGTGGTCACGGGCTCACGACCAGGACTCATTGATGTTGTGTTTCTACAACTTACTGTATGTCTGCTCTAGGATTATACCTCGTATTTCTGAAAAGCTAGGGTCGAATTATAGGTTTATTTAAAAATCAGTAAAATGGAAAAGGTTGCAACCTTTCAGTATTGTGTACAGTATTGTTGTGAAGCGGGCTGGGCTGGTAGGACCATGTGATCCACTCAGCATTACTCCACAACAATAAAAATGACCCGCAAGGTATTTTTTCAAATTCTAAAATATTTTTTTTTCCAAGATTTGTGTCGTTCTTAGGATATATCATTACTAAGGTGTCCAATACTCAAGGTGTTTACTGTACAGGGGTCCCCCCGACTTACGAATGCTCGCCAATACGAATGGGGTTAAACTTGAAATTTACAGTGTTTTATTTACCCATGACTTATTTTTTACTTTCATTTACTGTATTTTGTCATTCTATTTCTTCTTTTATCTTAAATTAAGTGATTTTAGATGTATATAAGGACTTAGGCTATGATATAGTGGGATTTAAAAATTTGCTCTGTAAGTACGTTATGCACATAGCATGTGTCCAACTTTCGTACAAATCTGACTTAAGAACGTCCTCAGGAACTGAACCCATTCATAACCCGGGGCCCCTTGTACAGAGTATACCATGATTTCAAATATCATGGAATTTTCCGATATTTTTAATGTAATGGTCAGGCCAGCAATCATCTGAATTTAGAGTTTTCCAACTTAAGAACTCCAAATTTCACAGGCCCTATAATATGCAGTCTGGTTAGAGACATATTATAATTCTTGTATCTAAAGTAAAGTTATGTACAATTGGTAATGTGTGACATCTATCTGATTCATGCTTCCTCTTGTTCCGTAAGTATAATTATATAATTTTTTTTTTACAAGGAACAGTATTGGGCATTTTTATAGAATGGGGAAATGCTTGACACTAAAAATGCATTTAATGGCATAGCTGATACTTCCCCATTAATTACTTTATTGTGTTTCTTGTTGATGAAATTTCATGAGTTTGGCAGTCTGTATCTACTGTATGTAAGGACATGATTGTGTATGTCCACAGTATAATTCAGGATTAGAAAGAGCTACAATATTAAGATTTGGTACCTTGGTTTATTTCACCTAATGATTGAACACCCCATTGTTAACCTAACCAAGCCTAACCCCCAGGTAGTGTGAAATACTTGGTCTATATATTCACAATGTCAGCTGCTATAATTGTGGGATCAAAAGGTTACTGGTTGAGGACACAACATTGGAAAAAGCACCAAATGGTATGAGTTGGCACCTTGCTTATGTACTGTCTAGATTTTTATGTACTGTACTCACTTTGGGATAGATAAAGGCTAGGGTGTATACAGTATGTAAATTTGAATAATCTTAAAGTTAATTGTTAGACAGTTGGTAGAATTTTGTGAGGATTTCCTAATTGAGACTGCATAGTGCTAGTCAGTGAATGTGATTTGAGTTAGAAAAGTCCTTTTATCGTAGAGTTCTCTTCACAGGATAGTGTCAGCTTTGTTAGCAGAGTTGGATGGTGTAGCAAGTATAGCTGACGTATTCGTTTTGGCGGCTACAAATCGGCCAGATCTTATTGACCCTGCTCTTCTCCGCCCTGGAAGGTAAGCCCAATACATTTAAGTGATGCGAGTCATATTTCGAGACACTAGGCCATCTCTACACGAAGGTGTTAAATTACTCGGGAAATCATCAAAATTATTTTCTTTATGGTAATAATATTCCAGCCTTCAGATTACTTTATTTTTCTTACCATTTTAACTATAAAATTTGTTGTTTAACTGAAAGATGTTTATGCTGAACTAACTGAATGAAAAACTGTTTACCTGTGTAACATGTGTTGAAGATAGAGAGGTAGGTATTACTTTGTCACTGACAAATATTTACCTGATTTAATGAGTCGTGGTTGAAATCAAGTGTAATCACAGGTTCTCCTATCACTTAATGTCATTTAACCATACATACTTTGTAGTGTTGTATAGATATCATCCATTTAGCTCATTCCTGAAATATGCTGTGCTAAACAAAAACCATTTTACCATAACACAACTTTTAATAAGGGAGGATGAATTCCTGACCAAATTATATCTGGTCATAGAAACATCAAGAATGTTTTAGAGTATTACAGTAATTAGATACTCAAATATTAACAAAGCCACCTTGTTGCGAGTCTTAGAAAAAAGTATCAGGAAAATTATTTGTTAACACATAAATAATAACAAATTTGAATTAACACACCATTAGCAAAAAACACTAGATTATGGAGTTGTGATCTATGGTGTTTGTTGGGGATCATTTGTTGGAGGTGGAATAGCCACAGCAGTTGGTTGAGAAGCAACACTCTGCAGGAGTTGATTGGGGGATGCCTCTTCACTGAACAATACAGTACTACCATGAGGCAACCACGAGATAAACTAATTACAGGGGGTCCTCATTATCCGAGGCTATTAGGGACTGGAAAATCGCAAATTAAAGCTGGGAATTTCTGGCCATAAAAAATAATGGAAATAGGGTTTCAGTGGGAACATAAGATACTAAGTGACACTTAAAAGTATTATTTTTATACCTATCACACGCTCACCACTTTTCTTCCAACGAATAACACCTAATTCACTTCCAGTACATAACTGCTACTCTTCCTTTTAGGGGCAGCATTTAGTTTAGTACTAGCACTATGCTTTGAACTTATGGCTAAAACAATAGCAATGATGTTTCAAGAATGCACACAAAAAACAATAGAAAACTGCGGGAGGTTAGACGCTTCTTATGGTAGACAGTCACTTGGCTGACTCCGAGTGTCTGAAATTTGTGTGTATGCCATGACATCACATTGGAGGGGGTGGGAGCGCAGGCCGGGTGAGTGGCAAGTTAGCGACGCATTGACAGCCCACTACCTCTACACATGTTTCCTTCCCACGTATATTATATTTTCTTTATTTCTAAGCCACATTAGAGTATTGTAATGATTATTACACAACTTTTATGATTTCATTACATGTAACAATGGCAACATGCCATCTCACAGGCCACCTCACCCCCCAGTCGATGACCCTGGTACGCAAGAAGGAAATAATAGACTGACTGGACAATGGCAAGAAAGTGTTTATTCTTCTTATTTAAGGGCTTATTTCTGTTATATTATTCACCTTATATAACTAAGGTACACATATTTAACTGAGGGTAACTTTCATAGAGGTTATGTGCAGAAAAAGTGCTTTGAAAGACCAGTTTTGATTTCATGGCATGTATCTTGAGGGGTCCCAGAACCATTTTTTTTTTTTTTTCAAAATTAGTTTATAGTACAGTGAGTTCTGCTATAACGCTTGTTTTGATAACGCGAATTTGCTCTAACGCGATTTATGAATTAGGAACGATATTTGTATAACGCGAACGCTTGTTTGCTATAACGCGATTTTTGCTTACTATTTCTCCAATTTTGTGGTACAGTGGGGTATGCTATAACGAATCTAATTGGTTCTAGAACCTTGTTCGTTATAGCATTCGTTCGTTATAGGATTAATCCGTTCTAGGCCCCCAAATACAACCACTTAACACTGAAAAATATAATATAAAATTGTAAAAATTTTAAAAAAGTGCATAAATATGCATCTAAACCCCTGAAATAAAGAATATAATTAATATTTGTAATAAAAAAACAATAAATTAGGAAAAAAAAAAAAAATTTAAATAATGTTCGTTGTAGGAGTTTCGTTCGTTATAGCATTCTCAATTTTATAGGTAAAACTGTTCGTTATAGGAATATTCGTAGTAGGATCCGTTAATTATAGCATACCCCACTGTATTAACTGTGAATATAGTAAAGAAGAATATCAACAAGAAGCGTTCTGGTGATAGAATTCCCGGTGATGATCGTAAAAGAAAGGATATAACACTTGAAGAGAAGCTCGATTTTATCAACCTCAAAATCACCCTTCTCCCCCATCAAGTAAAGTGTTACATTTACTGTATGATTTCATTATTAGATATGAATGTAACATTTATTTAGACTGTGCTATCCTTTGTGTTAGGCTAACTACTAAATTTTTTCGATTTCGAGTAATCTGCACCTAACCCTATTTTCTCCATAAGCCCTGTTATTTCTATTACGCGATTTTCTATAACACGATATTTTACAAGAACACAATTATCGCGTTATAGCAGAACTACCTGTACCTAAGTACACGGTTCCCAAGTACACGCCGCTCCGTATGCATCAATTACTCACGTACGTGGAGGGAGCACTTTACAGTAAACCATTCATTGTCATCTAGAATTGCTTAACTTTTCTTGTGTAGGACAGACTTTGGAAAAGGGTGTCAGTTGACTGCCTGGTATTGATTAGTTTTTACTGTACAATAGTAATTAGAATTGTTTACCATTTTCCTATTTTTTACTACAGCTGTACAGTCATACCATATGTACTTATCAGTGGTTTGTTGCAGATTTGAGAAGCTTGTGTTCCTGGGAGTGTGTGATGACCGTGCTGGCCAGATAAAAATTTTAAAAGCTGTTACATCTAAGTAAGTTGGCAATGCATGGGTAACTTCTTGTTCTTAATTCAGTGTTTAAGCCAGATTAGAAACTTAACATTATGATCAGTTTCATGATTTACACTATTAGAATATTTGTTTTCTTTGATTTCCAGTTGGAGGAAGTCATGTGTCTTTGATGCCTTGTTAGTACTCCAGAGTTCATGGTGTTGGTGTCTAAACAACAGTACTTTTCACAGATAAAATTTAGTTGTATGCTGTAGAAAAGTAGGTGTGTGTAAGTGTATGTACTCTCGCAGCTTATGACGTCAGTCAGGGATGTAGGTACAATTTGCAGAGGTGAATACAGGAGTCAGTCACAGTGTCATGTCAAGGTCCCAGAATTTGTACGTATGAATATTACCCCTGGTGTATTCATGTGGATTACTTGTTTCAGGATACCACTGGATTCTAGTGTGTCACTGGAACAGATTGCAGACTTGCTGCCATTGACACTCACTGGTGCTGACCTCTATGCCTTGTGTACTGATGCCCTTTATGCTGCACTTCATCGAACCACTGGCCAGATAGTAGCAGGTGAAATTTTGTTGTGAAAAACATTTTTCTTATATATGTAAAGACTTTTAATTGCTTTTCAAAAGAATATACCCCAGTACTTCTAATATTTACATACTTATACTGTACATTATATCCTTCAGCAGTTTTTGTTTTGAAAGCCAATTTTTCATTTACTGCTTGCTAAGTGATTAAGTAATATATTAACTCCCCTCTTTTTCATCAGTTATAATAGTAACTTATTTTAATATTGATGCTCTATGTTCAGACCACCTATCAGTCGAGCAGGAAAAGGCTTACTAGAGTGAACAATAACGTCCATATTATTAAACATCTTCCCTTGAAGAGGGTCGTCGTGTTTCAACCCGAGTTTTAAACTAAATGAGTCCTGAGGGACACCGCAGTACTGTACTTAACGGGGTGGTGTCGCAGTAAAATGAACTTATTCCAATAAAATTAATTTATAATATTGGAATTAGCTAATTTTACCACCACACCACCCCGTAAAGTACTGTACTGCGGTGTCCCTCAGGAATCATTTAGTTTAAAACTCGGGTTGAAACACGACGACCCTCTTCAAGGGAAGATGTTGTTTAATAATACGGGCGTCAAACTCTTACTGCTGGGTAGAAAAACAATACTGTGTGTGTGTGAGTGACTGAAGAGCATACTGGGGAGTGATTATTATGGGTGGATGTACTGTTGATTGGTGATGTTAGCTTGTGTCAAGACTAGGGGTAAATCAAATGAATATCATGGGGGGTGAACTCATGGTAGAAGAGATCATTTACTACAGTTAGAGTATGAAAGATAATGAGTGAGTGTGTGTATGTTCTTGGTGTTGGCCACTCTATCCTGGCAAGAAATGGGAGCAATTGTGGCTGTGCAGGACAATAAGACCCTCGTCGTTGATGCGATGAGTATAATTCGGTCAAAACCTGTTGAATACATTTCACATATAACTGCTGATACATCAGGACACAGTTTGAATAATAAGATCAATATACAGTTCATAAATACACTTATTATATTAAAGTTATTTAGAGTTCACATACGATTAGACAGATCACATTCATGTTTTCGGGTACGGTTAGACCAAGGAGAACAAATATAATGTCCTGCAGGAAGATGTTGGCTGACAAGAATCAAGATGTTGCCTCTACAGTAGAAGGCGATAGTCTGCCCCTCAGACAGTCACACAGCTGCTACCAGCTCCATCTCTCTTAGTAAGCTATCGGAGTTGTAAACAATCTCCTCACTTAACATATGGTCGTGTGTGGCCATAACACTTCCCCTGTAGGACTTCGCTCGAAATCACGGCCTACCATTAGATTCACTCTCCTACCACTTCCAACAGGGAGAGTCTCATCGCTGGGCATATTAACAGTGTCCTTTGTCTTCACTTTAACACTTCGCACCAGGCCATCTTCGCTTGGTAGTGCCTCCAGTACTCTCCCTAGCATCCACTGACTCCTGGGGAGGGGTTGTCCAGAGATCAAGGCATATCCCCAGCGCGGAGATTACGGCGAGTTTTGAAGAATTTTTGACGCCGACATAGTGTCGGGTGATATTCCTTTACCCACCTCTTCCAAAAGTGGTCTGCGATGAATTGGGCATGCTTCCATCTTCATCGGTATGCTTCTGCCATGGACCAATCGCCTCCGGTGGGCAGTGTCTCCAGGTTCATCCGTAGTATGTGAAACGGCGTTAGTGCTTCTAGATCCTTTGGGTCATCAGACACTGGGGGTGATGGGCCTTCTGTTGACGATCTCTTCTACAGCACAGACCAAAGTGTTGAGTCATTCATCGTCTAGTGTCTGGGTGCTCACCACTCCCTGGAGGAACTTCCTTACAGTGCAGATTTGCAACTCCCACACCCTGCCCATATGAGAGGCTGTCGGGGGATTGAACTGCCATTCTATCTGCTTCTGTAGGAGGGCATTCCTGACCTTGTCACTGTTGTTCCAGCCGCTCACCGCCTCTTGTAACTCTCGGCTAGCTCCAATCATATTGGTTCCACCTGTCAGACCGAATACCCTTGGGAGGTCCCCTGCGGCAGGTAAATCTTGTCAGGGCGTTGATGAACGAGTCGGTGCCTGGTGAGGTGAGGACTTCTAGGTGTATGACTCTGGTGGTCAAGCAGGTGAACAAGCATCCCCATCTCTTCGCCAGGCTCGGCCTTGTTTAACCACAAAAGGGCCGAAGCAATCAATTCCGGTGTAGGTGAACGGCTGGGCTCACTCGATCTTTTGGCAGGTCGGCTTGGCGTTGATGGGTAGGCCTCCAGTTGCTCCGACAAGTCATACATGTCTGTTTTGTGCAGTCGAGTAATTTGCGGCATTTAGGTATCCAGTACTTCTTGCTGCAAGTGTGTTCTCGTTCTGAGTGCCCAGCTCTAGTCCAGTGTACCTCTCTCACGATGAGCCCCGTGATACTGTTGTACCGCGTCAACAGTATGGGATTCTTCTGGTCTGGGTGGAAAGTGGCATGTTTCAGTCAGCCACCTACTCTGATCCAACCGTCCATGTCTAGATGAAGTTCCAGCCGACTCACGTCACTACCTCTCACAGGTTGTCCCTGTTGTAACATTCCTAGTTCTCGAGGGAATCCTTTCCTTTGCATAAATCTCAAGACGGCTAATTTCACATCTTCCAATTCGCTGACCATGAGCCGATTTTCTAGGTGATGTTTGTTCTTTTGCTTCCCAAGCCGCCATTCTATAAACTTTCTAATCCATACTACGCTATTCAGAAGTCGATGCCACGAGGATACCCTCCCCCTGGTCAGCGTTCATCGTCAGCACCGTGGTTTCCTTCTTCACCTCTGGGTCTCCGTCTGTGAGGTCTGGAATCCTCATTGGACTCTTTGGCCAACTGTCTTCTTCCAACAAGAGGAAAGCAGGTCCCTGAATCCACCTGCCCTCCTCGTTGAGCTCTGCTCCATGTAGTCCACGACTAGCGTTGTCGGCTGGGTTCAGTGCCGACTTCAAAAGGGCGCCATTGCTCTGCATTGGAGTCCTCGTGTATCGTTGCCACTCATTTGGCCACGAAGGAATGGAAGAGTCTTTCAGTGTTTCATATGTACTGAAGGGCTGCCATACTGTCTGTCCAGAACACTGATCTTTCTATTTGTAATTCAAGTTCTCGCCGTAGTTGTTTGTCTGCCTTGGCAGCCAGTACTGCTGCACAGAGCTTGAGTTGAGGTATGGTCTGCTGTTTCAGGGGGGCTAGCTTGGCCTTGCCACACACGAAGGAGATATGGTGGGTTCCATCTTCACACATGGTCCTCAGTTACGATACAGCTCCATACGCTTCTTGGAGGCGTTGCAGAAGTGGTGTAGTTGCATGGCAGCTACTGGATTTGCATCCTCGGGTCGGTAGCACCGTGGAACGTGTACCCGTGATAGGTGAGGAAGTTTATCTTCGCCATGCCACCCTGTTTTGTCTTTCTCCAGGTCCCACAAGATTCCCAGTGCTCGTTCAGTGGGGAGCCTGTCGTCTTTCAAAATTACTTCCTTTACTCCCACGGCTTTCTCTGTCTGGAATTGCCTTGAAGACTTCCTTGTGATTACAGACCCACTTCGTAAGTCTGAATCCACCCTTCTTCATCAGCCGTTTCAGTCGATGGGTAATTATCTTTGCCTTCCCTGGCGAATCTACCAAGAGAAGCAGATCGTCAGCGTAGAAATTACGATTCGCTTTCTTGATGATGTCATGGAGACTTTCCCCGTAATCTTGGAATGTTCATTGTAGCATATACCCGGCATATGAAGGGCTCCACACACCTCCAAAGAGATGTATGTATTGTCATTCGGTAAGTGGTGGGGGCCCCTGACCACTGGTCGTCCGTCCACCCACCATAAGAATCGTAAGACGTCTTGATGTTCGGGTACTACTCGCATTTGGTGGAACATTGCCTCGATATCAGCCATGAGTGCCACCTTTCCTTGTCTGAATCTGATGAGGACTCCAATCAATTTGTTGTTAAGGTCTGGCCCTTGCATCACCTGGCTGTTTAATGACATCGACTCATACACAGCTGCACAATCAAAAACTATTCTCACCTTTTATGGGTTGTTGGGATTCAACACAGGATGGTATGGGAGATACCAGGTCTTCCCGGGCGCAATACTGAGTTCTTGACGTGGGATTCGCTCAGCATGTCCTTTGTTGATTAGCCAACTCATCTCTTCTTGATACCTCTGAGAGATCCCTGGGTTCTTCAGGAGGCATTTTCTCAATCCCGTCAATTGTTGTTCGGCAAGCTTCTTATTGTCTGGGAGTCCCGGTTCATGTGGCAAAACGGGATGGGAAGTTGGTAGTGTCCGTCCACTTGAGTAATTAACGTTGACCACTGCATCAGGACTCTCATCTTTGACAGAGACGGGATCATCGTTGCTGTAGGCGGAGTCGCATTCCCGGAAGTGCCTGACTTGTCTCCGAGTTCGGTGTTGCCATTCTGACGAAGTGGTTGATCACTGCATAATCACGGCTCACCATTCCAAGCGGTCCATTTATAGTCCAGCCCAGAAAAGGTGCTTGTTGCAAACAGCTCTCCATCCTTCCCGGTCCTTACTTCTAACGGTGCTAAGGCTTGTGGTATATCCAGACCTATCAGGAGAGCCACTCTTTTCGGTGCTTGGTGTAGCGCAGTACCTTGGAGGTGTTCCCACATGGTGACGTCTTGGGTGTCTGCGACCGACACTCTCAGAGAAGACGGTAGATTCTCAGCAACAATGACCTTGGGGATAGTGATGGATCGGCTCTTTCTTACTCCTACGCTAGCCACTTTTAGACTGATCTCTATGGTGTTTACACTATTTCTTTCATGATCATGCCAATGGAGAGGGAAACTGGCCTTCTCTCTGCCTGCAGCTGGTTAGCTAGGTTATGCTTGTAGTACGATCGGTTGCTGCCTGAATCCAAGAGAGCTCTGGTGACCACTGCTCTTTTTGCCCCTTGGAAGTGCGACTCTGCTGGACCCTTGTAGTCACAACTGGCAATTGTTGGGTTCTTCATACCGATCATCGCTTCCGTTGTTGGTTATGGTTTCCCTGAACCCTCTATGCGGATTTCCTTTATTTGTGGTCACCAGCACATTCTGTGTACTCCCAGCCCCTTTCCCCATGGTGGCTGTACTGATTTCGGTCTTCCATGATTTAACTCCACTGGTTGTCGATTCCGGTGGTGGCATAATGGCCTTAAGTTGACTCATTCTAGGTTGCTTGTGGTCAGGTAATATGTCCATTTAGTAGGTGCCCCCGGTGATTGCTCTCTTCACCCTTTGGAAACTGGTCTGGTGTTCTCCTCGTTCAACTTCACCCCGTTGCGCCTAGCCACTGCTCGTCAGAATTCCCGTGAAGTGCAGAAGCCTCGAGTGTACTCCAGAGCAGCCATCTATATCACACATAATCTTCTGGCTGCATTCCGTTATCCGGTGATTACGACCCAGGCAGGCGAAGCAGCGACGCTCTTCCCTTTCGGGTGAAGTTTGCTTAACTGGGAACATTCTGAGGAATGTCCTGCACATCTGAAGGTGATCTCTGCGGCATAACGAGCAGCGTTCATTGTCCATTTTTCTGGTTGTCTTTATTCCTAATGTCACCAGACCCACAAGTTTCTTCCTCGAAGATGATTGACTTGAGAGGGAGTCTGCATAAATTCTGTTTGGTTCCCCTGGTCCTTGTCCTTTTGGGGCCTCCTCCGCCTTGTTGAC